AGTGCCCCGAGTTCAAGCCCTATCCTTTTCTTTATTTCTATCAACTTCAGCATATCAACATCTTCTTGGACTACTCACCTCAAAGTTTCAGCCACAAATCTAGGCAAAATATCCTGATTCAAGAATTCTTAGGAAAAAATACCTCTTTGCCTTGGGCTTCTCTTTCTGCCCCCTTTTGCCTTTCTTTTCTTTGTTTATTGAGTCAGGGGTTCACTGTGGCACCTAGACTGGCTAGAACATGAGATCTTCTACCCTCAGCCTCCAAAGTCCTAGGGTTACAGGCACACCACGCTTGAGCTTCTCTTTAAAATAGAGGAACACTGTTCCTTAGAAGCTCCTAGAAATTTCCTCTTGGAGTTCATTAACTAGGTTTGTATCATGTGACAGTACTTGAGCCAATCACTGCTACAGTGACTAAGCATTGTGACTAAACCAACTAGTATCTCAGCTTGAGACTCAGGACAGGGAAGTATATACTGGAAGCAAGTGAAAGTTCTTTTAATAAAAAGATTAAAGCTGAGCCTAATGTCTCACACCTGTAATCTTAGCTGCTGAGGAGGCAGAGATGATAAGAATGGAGGTTCAAGACTAGGTCCAACTGGGAAGGTGGCTCAGTGGTAGAGTGCTTGCCTTGCATGCATAAGGCCCTGGGTTCGATTCCTCAGCACCACAGAAGCAGAAAAAGCCAGAAGTGGCACTGTGGCTCAAGGGTAGAGCTCTATCCTTGAGCTGAAGAGCTGATGGACAGTACCCAGGTCCAGAGTTCAGGTCCCATGACCAAAAAAAAAAAAAATTAGGCCAGGCAAAAATTCACAAGCTCCTCCTCAATCAATAAAAAATCTGGGTATTGTAGCACATGCATGATCCCAGCTATTTGGAAAGCATAAACAGAATGGCTTAGGTTTTCCACCTACACCCAAGGGCTGGCAGTGTTCCTGAACTGGCCCAGCACCTGCCTAGTAAGCACAAAACCATGAGTCTAGACGCCCCCCCCCCCCCAAAAAAAAATACATATATAAGTAAATAAAGCTAAACTTAAAGAATAAGGAAGAAGTAATGGGCAGGGTCAGCTATTTGTTTTAAAGAGAATGCTTTAATACCTCATTTTAGAGGAAGTTGAGTCACAGGAGACCTACATCTGATAAAAATAAAAGTGGATTCAAATCCAGCGCTTTCACATTTCAAAATCTATCCACAGACTTTCTACTGTACAACAGGATCTAGCATCAGATTGTGATTCTAGAAAATGAAAGACCCCACTCTTGGGGTAAGCACTGCACAGGTCAGGCAGTCTCCCGCCTTCCCAAGCCTGACCTTCAGCCAGGCATTTAAGCTGTTTATCAAGTCATGACTAATGGCACTGTGAGACACAGAGGGCTGCACATTCAGACCTAGTTTCAGATTGTTAGAGGAGGTTCAGGGATAAACATCATATTCAGATTCTGTGCTGAGAAAATTCAGTCGCAGCTCTTTGTCTTTCCCGAGTACAGATATTGGCAAGGGGCTTCTGCTGGGCCCTGCTCTGGCTTAATAGAAATGAAACCTCCAAAGCAGGCAGGCTGTTTTGGGAAAGTGGCCACTAATGGGGCCCCATGGGGCAGGGGGCCAGGCCTGAACTGGGCAGTTTGCATATTCACTTTTACAAACAATTGGCTGAGAGTCAGCAGTTAATGGAATGGGAATGATGTTTCTGTACCAAATCGTTTCCTGAAAAAAACATTTCCAATTGCAAACATATCTCAGCCTTTCTTCTTAGGTTTGTTATGTCTCTGTGAGTGAATTAAAGAGGCAGGGTTGAGGGAAGGTTTCTGACTACAGATTTTTTCATCTGAAAACATTTTCCACAATGATCTACACTACAAGGAGAGATCTCATTCAGACCCACCTTCAGGAGTCCTGGCTGAGACTATTGCTTTTCTAGTCACACTTCAGAGATGTTTAAATACCTCTGTGTTTACAAATGGGCCCTCGCTATGCAAGGATCCTGGGACAGGTACAACCTTTCTTCCTTTACAGAATGCAAGCTGGGAGATGCTGCTTCAGAAATGCGCATGTGCATACAGGGTCAGGAGAAAACATAGATGTTCCCCTCTCTCCCAAGGTGAAATCCATTCCGTCCCATAAAAAGATATTATCAAATTCTGCTTTTACACATAACCTGTGTGGGTTAAGTCTTGCGATTTGGATTTTATATATTAAACACATATTTTTGAGTGGGTATTAGAAAATATCAGGTGCTTTTCTGAATGCATATGCTAATGCACTTAATTTTCCCAACAACCGTAGTAGGTGTGGCATTATTATCAGTTTCCGGTGCCTCAGTTTCCTCATCTGCAGAATGAAACTGCCTTTGACTGGAGCCACACAACTAGAAAGTAGCAGCTCCTGGATTCGAATCTGGGCAGTCTGGCTCCCAACCACTGCAACCGTTTGGCCTCTTGGGGATCTAACAATGAAGAAAAGACCGAGTTGCAGGAGTTGGGGAGGGGGCCGTAGGATGAGATAATACTTAATAATTCTTGCTTAATATTTATTATGAATGTTAGGAAGAAAATAAAACATGACAGGGAGATGAACAAAGGGTCTTTAAGTTGGCTGACTGAGTATGCTGAGAAGCCATAATTGAGAATAGGAAAATGAATGATCCTATTTCCAGTTTATAGAATACAGTTTATAGAATACTGTGGCTGCAATGTGGCAAGTAAGTGGGGGAAATGCCAGAGCAGATAGTGGGCCAGTTAGGATGAAAGAACCAATGTGGCTTGAACCAAGATGGTGCTGAGAGGTAGAGCCTGAAAAACTTCCACAAGTGGAAGGAAAGGGAGAACTTAAAGGTATGATTCATTGGATTTGGGCTTGAGCCAATGTGTAAACAGAGGTGTCATTTATAGAGGAGAAGAATAGGGAAATAAGGGGTTTGTTTTTGTGCTGTTAGGGCAGGTATGAAGGTGTTGAAATCCCAGCAAATTTCTTCCATGTCTTAAGAGACTCAGCCTTGCATCCATAGGTAAGCATAGTTTTCCCCCCTTCCTAATATATGTACTAAAGTGCTTGTTGCAAAATAAAAATTGTGCTTTTTTTTTTTTTGTAAGAAAAAGCCTATGGAAGAGAGAAAAAATAGTAGAGAAGACATAAGAAAAAAATTGTAGAAGTCTAAAGAAGAAATTGTGGTCAGGATCAAGCCTGTAATCCTAGTTTCTCAAAAGGCTGTGATCTGAGGATGGAAGTTCAAAGCCAGCTGGGGCAGGAAAGTCCTTGAGACTCGTTAGCCGCATAGAAGTGGAAGTGGGGCTTAAGTAATAGAGCACTAGCCACGAGAGAAAAAGCTAAGGGACACTCTGGGTTCAAGCCAGAGGGATGGAGAGAGAAAATAAAACAGGAGAAGAGTAGAGAGAGAAAAGAGGGGCTAGGAAGGTGGCTCAGTGGCAGAGCGCTTGCCTTGCATGCCTGAGGCCCTGGGTTCGATTCCTCAGCACCACATAAGCAAAAAGAAAAAGCCGGAAGTGGTGCTGTGCCTCAAGTGGTAGAGTGCTAGCCTTGAGCTGAAGAGCTGAGGGACAGCGCCCAGGCCCAGAGTTCAGGCCCCACGACCGGACCCCCCCAAAAAAAAAAGAAAAGAAAAGAAAAAAGAGAAGCAATTGCACTTGGCTAGAAATCTTATATTTCCAGACCATTAAAGCTTCGAAGAGTCACCTCTTTTCCTGCTACGTTTTATGAAAGGGAATTCTACCAAACAGTGGATGTGTGTGAAGTTGAAGAGTCAAGCTGGTGACGGGTAATGCCAAGTGTCCCAGCTAAAGGACTTAAACACCAGCTTCCTAATATGGCTGTGTCTCTTTAAGATGGTGTCTATTTCTTTGTTAGGCAGACTCATTCCCTAACCAACTGCAACTATCAGTGAGTTTGCTGATGTGAAAGAACTCTTTGTAAGTGGCTGCCTTTTGCTTAAGAGTTCTTGCAAGTCTGTGCTGGCAATCAGAGAGGCCAGAGTCAATATTTAAAAAAAAAAAAGGAAAGATGGGCTGTTGCTTTTATTAAGGTTGATTGCAGCTGCCATATTAGCTCCTTAAGAACCTCTTGGTGACCAACGCCTTCAGAGAAAATGCTCCTTCTGTACTTAATTGGCAAAAAGTAAAGGGATGGAAGTCACGGCTTTTAGGAGGGGTAATCCAAGGTCAGCATGCACCAACTGCCCAGTGAATACTGGTTTGGTGGTTTAAAAAAAAAAAAAATGTAACCAAGCTCTGTGTATGGGGTTCAGCGCTTGGATGAGAGTCTCTAGTGGTCATTGTCCCATTTTAATGCTTCTTGAGGAAAATGGAATTGTAGATTTCTAGGATTTGAAAAGTAGGGACAACTTAACAGTCATCCAATGGGACTCTTCATCCTTACAGCCAAAGTGCACCATCAGTACCCTCGAAAGAGGTTAGGACTGAGCTATTCTCTCACAGCTGAGGGGGTTGGGTACAAGAAGGAGAGTGGATCCTGAGAAGACTGTCTCAAGGAAGGCTGCTCAAGAGAGAAGGGTTGAACCACATGTAGAAGAAGCTTACAATACAAACATAGGCTGAAACTGGCAACCTTTTTCCAGGCCATAAGCAATGGTTGGGCATCCACTGCATACAAAGCAATGAGCCCATGGTGGGGGGGGGGGGGGGGGGGGGAGGAAGGCAGAGGCATCAGAAAGATGTCAATGCCCACTCTGCTCCTGTTTATTCCAAAATCCTGTCTGAGAAAACATGTTTCTGTATGGGCAAGACCTTCCTATTTCTTAGGAAAGTGCAAGAGGTGACAGGAGGAAGAGGTGAGATTAAGGGGACAATTAGGTCCTCTTAGCAAGGAGCAGCTATGAATCGATCCATTGCAGGCTGAGTAACAGCTGTAATTTAACCTTTGTGGGGCTTTTTTTCCCCTCTCTGTCAATATTGAATGCATGTGTTACAGAGCTCCAACCTCCTGTCATCTGTCAAAAGGTAACCTGGCTCTCCTTTGTCTTTCAGTCTCGGAGCTGCAGGAGGAGGGAATGAATGCCATCAACTTGCCCCTCAGCCCCATCCCCTTTGAGCTGGACCCTGAGGACACAATGCTGGGTAACTGTACTTGTTATCTGTTGATCAGCTCTGTGCCTTCAAGTGTAGCTTCTCCACTTAATACCTTTCCTTTTTTTATAGAGGAGAATGAAGTGCGGACAATGGTGGACCCAAACTCACGCAGTGACCCCAAACTCCAGGAGCTGATGAAGGTAAGAAAAGAGTAAGAGAGGCTCCAGGAGCCGCCAAGCTCCCCAAGTGCCTATAGACCACCCATCCTCTGCAGGCACCCTGTGAGCTGTAGAGAGAACAAAGTTCCAGCAATCCCTGCCCTTGAGAAGCTCAGGGTTGAGTAGACGTGTACCCATACCTGGTGATTGGTGTTGGTCATAAGCACCAGAAAAGTCAGGACAAGTAAGCTCACCTTGGCCAATATCTCTCACATTCCCAGTCTTCCACCACTTTTCTCAAGATCCCTCAAAAGCACACTCAAACAAGAATTAGTATCACTCCCATTTTCCAAGTGAGAAAAAACCAAGCAGTTTGTCTATGGTTATGGGTAGAGAAGAAATTCAACCAGAAACATTAAATGAAATACTGTGCATCATGCCCCTTCCCAAACTGTTCACGTCTCGTCACTTCTTTCCCCTGGTCTGTGCCTTCATCTTCAGCCTTGCCAGAATACATGTAACAGAAAGGGCAAGTAAGTCATTCATAATGCAAACATACAGATCATTTTCCTGCTCAGAATCTGGTTGTCATTTCTTGTCAGCTGTAGAGTAAAGCCCACATTCCTGGGGGTTTTATTTGGAGTGTGCTGTAGTTCTTTCTTCAAACTCAGATCATCTGCCTGATGACCACTAACTTGTGCTTATTTCCAGCACTCACTGCCCCTAGACTTTGGCTGTCCACCTAGAATGCCTCTAGCTGCTCTTCAAAGGAGAGCCAAAGCTCAGTCTCTTCCTACAGGAAGCCTCCTCTAAACGACAGTGCTAAACAACAGCCTCTGTGTGTAGCAGTAGCCTCAGGTCTTTGGTTTTGTCATTCACTTCTTTCTCCTTCACTAAATGGTGAGCTGCTTGGGATTTTTTTTTTATCATTTTTTTTTGTTTTCATCATATCCCTAGGATAAGGCACAGGATATCAATATGGTAGCTATTTCAAAAACCTGCTATATTGACTTACTAAAATTAGAAGGAATCTTAGAAGCCATTTAAAAGTAGAATCTTACTGTCTCCATAGTCAAAGCAGCCAGTGCTTGGTAGAAAAATAGAAGAAGCCACTTGAGATTTGGACTATGTTATGTGGGACTGAAGGCAGTCTACCCCAAGGAGATGTTATAAATGTTACTTTGGTCTTTTTCCTGCCTTACGTTCCTTTGGTCTTTTTCCTGCCTTACGTTCCTATCTGTGCCATATTCTAGAGTCCAAATAACTCTCAGAAGGATATGGGGACCATGTGACCTTACATTCGGGGCTATGATCTGAGCCCCACAGTAGAGGAGGGGCTGGGCTATGGATATTGAGTGTCTGGCCCTTTCCTGATTCTGTCTGTGCTGTACCCACAGATGACTGCCCAGGCCCTGCCCTTCCCTTGCTGTGCCAGATGGTGGGAAGCTGTGGGTTGAGATTCTGCCTTTCCAGGGGTGCTGGTCCTATTTTGGCAAGGATGCTGGGGTCTAATTCTGTGCTAGTCTAGTCAACCATGCTAAAATGGGCTGTGCAGTTATCAGCTTCCCAGGAGATCGAGACATGGTCAGAGTAGGCTCTGCATGGGACAGGTCTCAGCGCTGCTCTGCCAGCCCCATATTATACTCAGGCCTAGATTGTAAGAGAGGAAGTTTGGGCCTGCACACAGCAATGTGTTATTTTTCCAAACTCTAGGATGCTATCTAAAGACACAGCATTTTTTTCTGCAGGATATATTCCCACTTCCAGAGAAGGGTTTGATTTTGTAGATGTAGGCTACTTTGGCCACCTTGAAATACATGCTGCTAGTCAGACCCCTAATCTTGTTTTTTTTGGGGGGGGAGGGGGTCCGGTCGTGGGGCTGGAACTCTGGGCCTGGGCGCTGTCCCTCAGCTCTTCAGCTCAAGGCTAGCGCTCTACCACTTGAGCCACAGCGCCACTTCCGGCTTTTTTCTTTTTGCTTATGTGGTGCTGAGGAATCAAACCCAGGGCCTCATGCTTGCAAGGCAAGCGCTCTACCTCTGAGCCACCTTCCCAGCCCACCCCTAATCTTCTACTCATTCCTGCTGCCTCCTGCCTGTTCCCATCCTGGGGGGGCATTCTTCACTTTCCTGTAGCGCATGGATTCTCCATATAGAACCCTTTATATTATAATCCTTTAATTGACTAGATATATGCCCCCACAAGCTTCTCTTAAGACAGACTAGGTCTTACTGTTCGTTGGCTACAGGACATGCCTGAGACCTCATAGGTGCTCAATTATTACCATCATCCTCCCTTTAACACAGAACAATGTGCAGTGATGCCTCCCTTCCCCAAGCTCCACTGTCAGCTCTTAGGGCAAGAGAACTATCCTGTATCTGGATTGTCTTCAGGATGGGGGAGGGAGGGAGGAGTGTTCACATACCTGTGTACAGTAACCAGAACTCATCAGTTTAATTAGAATCAGTTAATTTGATTATATATAAATAATATCTTGATAGATAAATGAAAAGGAACAGCTAAAAAAGAACAGCAGTATGTGTTTGTCTTCTTACTTGAACAGAACTGCTGATATGTGGCTCTCAAGGGTGTTGATTACATAGATGTCAGCTTGGTATCTCCAATCAGTGCCTGATGCACATACCATCAGCCAGTGACAGTTGCTGAGACAGGAGAGGGGACTATGTTCCTGAAGGGTACAGAGAGAAGCACATGCTTTAGACTGAACTGACCAACAAAGCACTGCTATCTGCAGCCCAGAAAGCTTTGTAATCCTAGGTTGTTTTCTTCCTTTCTGAGCATATAGATGAGAGTAACCACCCAGCCAAGTGCCCTCATGGGACAGCACTTTATATAATAAGATCTCCCTTTAATTGAGTTTTTGGTCCTTGACACAGGTAATTCTTTCAACCACCTAACCTAGGAGAGATACTGCCATCTTCCGTTTTAGAGATAGGGAGCCAAGCACTCAGAGCAGAGGACCAGCTTGCCTTAGATTCATAGGCCATAGAAGTGTGTGTGCATGTATGCACACACACACAAGTTCCTACATGACATGGTGCACACACACAGGTCTATAAATGATACCATATGTCACAAAGAAGCAGAGACATATTCCTAGGTATTAGAGTAACATAAGCCCACATGCACACCTAAATAGACAGTTGGACATAAAGGGAGCCGGTGGAACTGAGATTTCAACCTATTTACATAAAGCCAGAGCCCATACTCTTCCTGAACAAGATGCCCACCCACAGTGCTATTTACCTTCAGGAGGAAATGGCCAGGGCTGAGAGATAGCAGGGACACTGGTACTGCCGGCACTTGCAGGCTCTCCTGTGAAAAGGCAGAGTCACTGGGGGCCGACTCATAGCTACAATCTGTACAATAGTCCTGCGATCATACTGCTGCTTTTGAAATCGGAAGTTTATTTAGGTTTTAATTGTCCAGGATGAAAAAAGCTGGTCTCTAAGAAATACCCTACAACTCACTCTTATCCCTTCTTCCCCAAAGGTGCTCATTGACTGGATTAATGATGTGTTGGTTGGAGAAAGAATCATTGTGAAAGACCTGGCTGAAGACTTATATGATGGACAAGTCCTGCAGAAGCTCTTTGGTAAGAGGAGCATTGCGGGTGGCAATGGATGATAGCTTGGTCCTAGCTAGGAGGTAGGCTGGGATAGCAGAGCAATGAAGACGGCTAGTAGCCTCTGGAATATGAAATGAATCTGACCAGATGGGCCTCAGCTTCCCTGGTAGTCCAGGGTCATCTGCTGGGTAAATTAAAAGACTCTACTGTATAGCTGGAAAACATACTCACCCTATACAGAAATCACGCATTCATGGCCTTTTTACTTGTATAGGAAACTTTTGATGTGTGTGTCCCTCTGGGATCTATTAGGCTGAGTTTTCCCACCATCTATACAAAGGTGCATGTATACTACGTTGTAGTATTACCTGTGTGGCATGAATGTGTTGCTGCGTGACCTGTAGACCTATGTGTATCCCTGGGCTTGGTGGACTGTGTCTCTATATATGTGTATTGCCTGTGAAGTGAGTATATACCTTGCCTTACTTCATATCTCTTTATGTGAAAAATATAAGGAAAGTAAAATACAGGGGCAATCTTAACGTGGATGGACAAGTTCAGCTCGAATGAAAGTGGGTTTCCCCTCCCTCTCTCTGACCCAAACCTCCCCAGCCAGTTCTAACTCAAAGCCTTAGCTTCCCATTATCACCTCCACCTGGGAGCACCAGGGACTGAATTTAGCTACTCTGTCAAAAATGTGTCTTTCTGCCTTCTCCGCTTCCTTGTTAGGCACCCTCATGAACAGGAGTTCATCAAGGCTCATTGCTTTTTGCTCAACAGTCTCCCCTGGATCCATCTGCTTTGCCATTTTTATTTGTCAGACCTGCTTCTCTCTGAACTACTGAAAAAATTCCCAAACTCTTCACCTTTCCCTCTCATCTCAACGTGTGCCAGTCCTCACTTAAAACTCCTGTAGCTCTTTCCTGCCAGACATCATCTAGACCCCTTAGCACCACATTCAAGACATGCCCTCCCACTCTCACACGTGTAGCTCACCCAATGTGGTATTACCCGTGATGTTCTTAGAACCATTCCTGATGCCCAACAGGAATTTTTCGTCATTGCTAGTTTCACTATTGTTATCTCCACCATCACTACATTATCATATTGGGCTTGTATATTTATACCCTGATACTTGGCTATTCCTTCTGTCCCCAAGGCCATTTTTCCTCCTTCTACTTTGGCTGCCATTACTACTTATTCTTTGAATCTCCTATACCTCCCTTTTATACCCTGTACAATACAGTCACATACAGAAGAGTCTGTCCTCTTCTACATTTACTCCCCCCCCATATAGCTACAGGAATAGATATGTATGTGTACACATATATAATACATATTATATATGTATTATATATTATATATATATGTTATAAAATATATATTATATATTATAATACATATTATATATGTCTAGACATAATTATATGTTTAGACATATATATAACATTTATATAACATACACATGTCAAACATCCTTAATCTGAAAACCTGAAACCTAGTGAGTTTCAGTCAAGACATATACACTCAAGATATTGTCAAAATACTGCCATAAATGTATATGAACCAGCCAGGTACTGGTGACTCGTGCTTGTAATCCCAGTTACTCAGGAGGCTGAGATTTAAAGAGAATACTATCTCCAATTAACCACCAAAAAAGCCAGAAGTGGAGTTATGGTTGAAGTGGCAGAGCACCAGCCTCGATGAAAAAAAATTAAAGGATAGCATTTTGACCCTTAATTCAAGGCACAGTACTGATACATACATACATACATACACATACAAAAGTATGTGAACCATAAATGAATTCTGTTCTTAGACTTGAGTCTCATGCATAAGATATCTATCTATATAGATATAGATATATATGCACATAAGCTAAAATCTGAGAAATACCTGAAACACTCCTGGTCCCAAGCATTTTGGATAAGGGCTATATGACCTGAATAAATGTGTATTGTGTATATGCACATGATTGTTTTATATGCAAGACTTATATAAACAAGTCTGTCTTAAACAGGATTGTTATCTGTAGCTGTTAGTCAGTACACGAGGCCTTGTTAGAGTTGAGAGCCATGTCTTATTTATTTTCCAGGCTTCTCCAGCACTGTCAGATTTCCTAACACTTAATCAATGTATATTAAATGAATGAATGGCTAATATAAAATTTAGTAATTTCTAGGAAGCTAAACTGATTTGGTACTCAAACATCAATATTAATGAGTATTAATATTTAAAGGCTGTAAACTCCAGCTGAATACAGAAAGGAAATGAAAAGGCTTTTGGCCCATATAGATATGGAGAAGCCATGAGCCTCACTGAGAATCTCTTCCAGTGTCTGCAGCTGTTAGCCCCTCCAGCAGTTTCTAACCAGGCTCTGAAGCTGTCTTGAAATGGTGGAACATGGCCATGAAGTAATGGAACGTGGTCATGGAGTAATCTTGCCTCCAGGAAAGGTTACAAAACAGCCCAGTGTCACATCTGTGCAGTCGCAAGTCAGGCACCACATCTGATCAGATTAGGTTATTTCAGATTTCAGTGTTTCATGTTGAAAGAGTGATTCACTACAGGATCATGCTGCTTTGGGAAACTTAAGGTTTAAACCTATATCTTAGGTTGGATATTTTGCATTCAGAACCTGCAGGCAGATGGAAAGAATCAATTTGCAACAAAAGGGATCAGTCCAGAAACTGAGTTTTGAGTGACCCCTGTGCTTTTGAGTTCCTCTCTGGCCATATTCCTATCTTCCTTCTTTCTCACCCAATTTCTCAAAAGAGCATTTGGCATTCATTGTGCCTGCCTCCACAGAGCTAGCTAGTGCCTTCCATACAGTGGTACCTTCCACCATACAGCTGGTCAGCTCCTGTCAAGATCATCAGTGTCAATTCAGACTTCCTCCTCTTCTGCTAGCATGTGACGGAACATCTCATCACAGCCAGGTGGTCTCTGTGCTCTCCTGGTTCTTGACTGCCTGCTGACACTTGCTTCTTTGTCTTCCTTCTCCTTTCTTCCTCTGCCATGATTAGGGTTCCTCGTTCTTCATCCTGACTTGTTCTTCTTTCATACCCTCTTATTGGGTTACCAGTCCATCTATTTCAACCATCATTTCTGTCATAAGCATCCATGGGTCTCTATCTCCAGAACAGCACTCTCCTTAAAACTATTACGTTTAACTGCCTTCCAGACATGACCTGGACATCCCCCAGCCACCTCCCTCCCCCAGACTGAGCTGCTTCTCTCCTCTTCCTCCTCCGTACCAAATCTATTCTGTCTTCCATTTTGGTGAATATTTTCACCACTCAACATCAGTTTCTTAAATAAGAAACTTAGGAACTGTTTTGGATAGCTCCTTCACCTTTATTCTTGCCACTCTGTTAATCTCAAGTCCTGACAACTGCATTCCCTTACGTGGTACTTCAAATCCAGCTCACTTTTTAGTTAGTATGTGAAGCTCTTATTAGTACTTTGTGTCCTAGGTAGGATTAGCTCTAACCTCTATTCTCTGGCCCCATTATGGCTACCTTAGGGGGAAAACTTCTCATTTTCCTTAATCCAAAATCCTTTTATCTGTGTTTTACTGTCTCTTGCTTGATAGGAGATCTTTATATTTCACTAGTTCTCGTGACACTTAAATGAATAAATAGGACATTTTAAAAAGCCTTTTGACTCTGAACTAATTTTAGGCTTAGAGTTACAGAGGTTGGGCAAAGAATCTCCATATGTTCTTCTTCACCCAGGTTCCCCTCATACCCAACCATCCTACCAGTCAGTATCAAAACTGAGTAACTTTAGAACAGTGTTTAACATTAATAGTTGCTAATGTGATATCCCTTTTGGATCCTAGGATCTAGTCCACATTCCCATATTGAATTAGTTATCAAATCCCCTTCTACCCTTCAATCTATAACAGTTTCTCCAGTCCATGTCTTTCATGACACTGGAACTTTCCTTTTTTTCTTTTCTTTTGTGCTGGGCCTGGAGCTTGAACTCAGGTCCTGAGTGCTGTCCTGGAGTTTTTTTTTTTGCTCAAGGCTAGTGCTCTATCACTTGAGCCAAAGATTTACTTCTGGCTTTGGTGGGGGGAGGGGGAGTTAATTGGAGATAAGAGTCTTACGTACTTTCTGCCCAGGGTGGTTTTGAACCATGATCTCCAGTTCACAGCCTGAGTAGCTAGGATTGCAGGTGTGAGCCATAAATGTGCAGCTCAACACTGGCACTTTTGGGGAGTACTGGTCAGTTATTTGGCAGAACAGTGCTCAATTTGGATGTATCTATTTTGTCACAATTGCATTAACATTATGGGAAGGAATCCCAACAAAATAATATAGCCTTCTTAGTACATACTACTAGGCAGTATCTGATGATGCTCTATAACTTACCACAGGTAATAAGGCATGTGATATTACATGATTATAATAAAAAAAAAACAGCAGAGATCACTTTACTCTTTTTATCTTTGTATATAATTTGGGAGAAGACACTTTAAGACCATGCAAACAAATTTTTTTTTTGGTCAGTTGTGGGGCTTGAACTCTGGCCTGGGCGTTGTCCCATGCTCTTAGCTCAAGGCAAGCTCTCTATCGCTTGAGCCACAGCACCACTTCCTGTTTTCCGAGTGGTTTATTGGAGATAAGAGTCTCACTGACTTTCCTAATGCCCGGGCTGGTTTTAAACCTCGATCCTTAGATCTCACCTAGGATTACAGGCGTGAGCCACCGGTGCCCGGCCCATGCAAACATTTCATCTTAAACCTCTGCTGAATTTAGTGTCGTATCTGATGGTGGTTGTGGTGGTGGTGTGTGTATATGTGTGTGTTGCAGTTATTGTGGTGGTCTAATGGTGAGTGTTCCTGTTAATAAGTGTAGAAGGAATAAGCAAGAGTTGTCATGCTCGTTTACTTGTCACTCATTAACTTATTTGGTCACTTAATTATACTTTGGGTTGTGATCTAATGCTATCATTCATTTTTGTTATTGTTGTTCATATACATCCATCTTTAGTCACTGAAAGCTATCCCAGGTTGACTT